GCTTCCCTTCCAGCTCCCTGCCTGTGGCCTGGGAAAGCAGTTGAGGACGGCCCAAAGCTTTGGGACCCTGCACCCACGTGGGAGACCCGGAAGAGGCTCTTGGCTTCGGATTGGCATAGCATCGGCCATTGCACTCACCTGGGGAGTGAATCATCGGACGGAAGATCTTCCTCTCTATCTCTCCTCTTCTCTGTATATCTGCCTTTCCAATAAAGAAAATAAAAAAAAAAACAATAAAAAATTAACCAACAAGAAGACACGTGTTGAAGATTCCCTACCAAGTTCAGATTCTGGAGTTCTGAGCTGTGCAATACTTGCATAATTGACTGAACATCCTAATCCAAAAATCCAATGTGCTCCATAGTTCAGAGCTTGGCGAGCACCGATGGGATTCTGGAGTATTCCACACGTTCGGCCTTATACCACTTCTCACAAGCCCAATTTTCAAACATCTTCAAGTCACAATACTGTAGAGCTTTTCAGTGCAGCCCTAAGACTCTGGACAAGTGAGCAATTACCCGGGAGGGCTAAAGACTCGTGTAACCTATTATCCACCAGCTCCATTCCTGGGTGGGTTTTCAAGAAAGCATGTACGTGTGCACAAGGATGCTCAGAGCAGCTCTGTCACGCTCCCGGGAGGGACGGCCACACAGACACAGCAAGGCGGCAGACTCCACGCGCAGCACAAGTCACGCCATACAACACTCAATAGAATTTAAGCCTTCCTGGGGCCGGCGTTGTGGCACATACGGCCAAGCCACCACCAGTGACGCTCATCCAGCTCTTGGCTCATGTGCCTGGGAAAAGTGGAGGATGGAGCAAAGGCAGCCAGGTGCTTGGGCCCAGTGCCCATGTGAGACCTGGAAGAAGCCCGTGGCTTTGACCTGGCCCTGCCCCAGCCACCGCAGCCATCTGAAAAGTGAACTAATGGATTGAAGAGTCTCTCTCTGAAGCTCTTCCAAATAAACAAATACATCAATAAATCTGAAACAAGCTAACAAAAACAGAATGTGATGCTTTCTTACTCTTTCTAAGGAATGTATTCATCACTGCTCCTAACAGTGCAGTCCGCAAGCAGTGACGAGTGAACTGTCTGGCCGAGGAGCGGAGAGGCACACAAGCAGGTGTTCTGAGAGGGATCTGGTCGCACTTCTGCCCACTCCAGCTCCCTGCTAACACGAGGAAGTGGCACGGCTCAAGTCAGCTGGTTTCCTGGCAACTGCATGGGAAATCTGGATTGAGTTCCTGGCTCCAAGATATGGCCCAGGGCAGGTCTGGCCACTGTGGTCATTTGGGGAATGACAAATGGACTGCAACTTTGCTTCTCTCTCAGCTTCTCAAATAATTTTCTGAACATTTAATAACAAGAGGCCACTGTGTAACACTACTTGTTCATATTGCCACCAATCCTGGAGGTCAGCCTACTGTACTCATTTCAGAAACTTGTAGCAGGCTATTATGCAGACGACAGACATTCAAACACGTTCCCATTTGTGTCATGTACTGCCCAAGGGTCACCTGAATAGGAGTCACAGTGAGAACTTTGGGGACTAATGATAACCCAGAGACCACACTTAGACCAACAATAAAAACACCATCCCAAGAGCTGACATATGTGGGGCAGAGAGCCTACCAGCGAGTATTTTGTAAACTCCTCACTTCCTTCTTATCACAGTTCATGCATGATCCTGGCAGCAACAAGAGGCTCACATTACAGTCAACCCAGCCACCGCTACAACATCACACAACCATGTCTGGGACCTGGACATGACTCTAAAGCCAAGCCACCAGGGAGCCACGCAGCCATCTCCGGACGGCTCAGCCTCCAGAGACCTAACCTGAACTCATGTCTGTTACGTGGTATCACGCTGCTCGAGAAAGAACGTTCTAGAGTCAGCTGCTGTGGTTCCAATCTCTTGACTTCTTCATTTCATCTGAAAAGTGGCAGTATCACTGCATCACTACAAAGACAGCACGTGTTCACAGCACGTGTTCACAGCAGGACTCCCAGCAGACACCTCGCACACACCAACCCCCAATGACTGTTGCTCATCTGCCACTGTTCTAGAACCAGGTTCCTACTTTGCACAACAAAACGCATGAAACTGGGCAGTACACAACCTAGTTAACTTAAAAATGAAGAGTATTTAGAGCGACTGATGGCTTATGCTACACCCGCCCAGACTGTTAATAGGGAAGCGAAGGGAAGACAGAACGAAGCCACGCGTTTCTTGCTGATTCCAGTCCCTGGGACTTCGGCGACGCCCTGGCAAGCCACGTGTGCTGTTCCGGAAGACGCTTCAAGCCCACAAAGCTCTCAATCCAACACAGCTGGAGGCAGGTTTGCTTACAGACTTTTTTATTCTACAACAAACTGGGGCAGTTCTGCAGAACCATGTGTTGATTTACTTTTTTTCTTCTCAAAAGTAAATGAAGAATCTTTTAAATTATTTATATATTAACTTAATTTTTGAAAACAATAGTCATAGGGTTTCTCTGTCCTTTTAAGTTAAAATGTTATACATTTACAAACTGGAAAAAAAAAAAACAAACATGGATAGAACAGAGAAGTGTAACCTTCCAAAGAATAAAACTGTATTTCAGTCCTCCCTGTATCTAAAACTCATTACCACTAAGCCTAGATAAAATTTTTGACCCACAAATCATTTTTTTCTTTAATAGAAAAAGAATGTCTAGATTATTAGCAAAGTAATATCTTAAACTATCTTTACACAGCTGAAAATTTAATATAAACTTGTACGTCAAGTCACCTCCTTTACTTATGCTAGTTTAAAAATATATACAACTATGATGTTCAAATATGCATTCTGGGCCATATGTCCAAACATTAATATTTGGAAAACAACCTGATGTAACAAGTTATGAAAGGATAAAAGAAAACAAAGGTAAGCTATTAACTACACAGTGACAGGAAGAAACAAATGCTACCCACTCTGATGAGTGTAGACAGCCATCAGAAACTGACAGGTCACAGACACTAGACTAAGCCACATCACCTTCTAAAGCAGGTAACTGTGCTGATTTCAAACACTTTAATTAACATTTAAGTTCAGTAATTTTATTATTAAAAACACTCTTGGGGCCATAGTCTAATAGCATCAAGTTTTGAGTGGCACAAGTAAACCAGGGCACTAGCTAAGCCAATCTTGGCAGGACCTATCTGTTAAATAGTGGTGCAATTACCTCAACACAACAGGACCACCATCAGAAGGGGACGCCCGACAGACACCCGTACTTGCCAGCCACAGGAACGTTACCGCAGTACGCGCTGATGACTAACCGTAAATGGGCACTAACAAAGCTGCAGGCCAGCTCTGGCCCAAGGACCTACAGAGCTGAGCCCAGAAAGGCTTCAACTTTGCTTCTTAATCCACTGATACTTGCAGTTTAGGAGTAGCCATTTGGTCTTAAAAAAAAAAATCAATCAAAAAGCTGCAGAGGGACTCTTGGTTACACTGTGGCATCTGGAATTAGCAGGCATGACAACTTGAACCTGTTTCGCTCTTCGTGCTAAGTGTATGTATGCGTTTTAAGATAGCTTAGAAAACAGAACTGACTCTTAGCCACGGGCGGGTGACTAACTGCTGTCCACCAACAGCCTGGGTATCAGCTGTTGCAGCGTCCACACCAAGACCACCCAGCTCGAGCATCCATCATCCATCATCGAGCATCCATGGGGTGGGAAAGGGAGGCACAGAAGCAGCTCTAACTTTTTGTAAACAGCAGAAAAGCTTTAAATATCCCCATGTTTTACATCATCTTGTATTCTATTCTGGAATACTTGGAACAAAAATCTTGCTTCAGTCAGCTCAATTTACATATGCTGTAAGAATCCAGTGGAGTCTAACAACAGTGCACAGAAAACAAACCATTTAATTCTCACTCAGTGAAGATTATCAAGCAGGAAACACAGAGTATCATAAGTTTTCAAGTCACCCCAGGGTTGTACCCAGATGTTACAGAAAGGAAATGTGATAAGCAGACAAAAGCAGGACTGACATTGAGCGCACCTCAGCCCGAGGATAAAGTGAACTAAAGTGGACGGCTCGCACGTGAGGCTCCCCAGCAGCCGTCAGCCTCAACTGGGAAGGGCTGACACTGGTCACCAAAGGGCATCAGCCGGGGACTGAAAACACGACGCACAGCCCACCCTCCACCGTGTCAGGGTTGTCCTCCCGCTGCAGTCACTCCACCTGTGACAAGTCTCAGCTTTAAGGCCCGTGTAGGTTGTTCTGCTATTGAAGCATACCGTTTTATGTGTGGTAAGAATGCCTTTGTATAGAAAATAAAAACATCATATCATTATAAAAACAAACACAAATCTGGCATTTTTCCAAGCCAGTGAAAAATAACCACCACCATGATGGGATCACTTAAATGCTGTACTAACAGTAACTAACTTTTCTATGGTAGATTTTTTGCTCCATAAAACTAAACGATGCAGAATACAGCCTGGGTTATACTTACGCATCTGGTTTTCTTGGAAATAAAACTTTATTCACTACAAACATAAAAGGCAGATGTCTTCCTCCCTAACATGTGTAACGGTAAACCGAAGTTTTTTAAAATACCAACCACCTATAAGAAAAGGAATCAAAGTTTAGTGTGTGAACAGGAGATACAAACAACCAAGAAGAAAGCTCATCACTGGTGTTCAATATTTAAAATGAAAAGCCAAAAATAAGTTCTAAAATTTTTCCACCTTTACAAATAAAAAAGGTGTCCTTTCCACAGTGTGGGGATCGCACTGGCCATCCCTCTCAACAAGCGTAAAAGTGAAGTTTAAAAACGTTGCCCCTGGCAAGTTCTCCAGTACCTTACTCAAGGACCCACCCCAAGGTGCCAGGCGGCCCCGGGGCTCCAGGCACAGTTAGGAGCCAACGCGCGTCGTGGTGGTTCTTTTATCCGAGAAAAAGCTTTTCAGCAGAAACACCTGCCCTATGCTGACCACCAGGAGGATCAGGGCCTCGCCCACCGACCAGTAGGCCACTCTGGTATTCAGGTCCTCCGCGCGGCTTCGGCCCTGGGCTTCTCTCAGGCGGAAGTGAGTCTGGTAGTCGATGACCGACTTCAGGGCTTCGTGGATTGACACGCAGGCAGACTCCATCTAAAGAGAAACAGTCCTGTTAGGGCGCTCGGTCTGTCTGCACATCCCTCTAGCATTTCCACCTTTCTGCTGATGTGGTCTCGGCTCCTCCGCCAACCAGCATTCACTAGCTGGGCACCACTCACTGCCTCACAGTGTCACGGGGCCTTCCCCTCACCCCCACACCAGACCCTGGTGAAGCTTAAGTCCCACCAACGGGTTGTCTGTCACAAGAAATGCTGGCAGTGAAGGCCAGGGGCTTTCGGCTCGCCAGTCCAGCTTCTTCCAACAAGAATGAGAACGGCATGAAGTCCACCAACAATGACTGCAAGTCCAAGTCCAAACAGGAACAGAAGCGAATTACAGCGGCACAGAGAGAGCTGAGTCAGTCAGCTCCCTAACTCTTCTAGAACAGTGCTTAGAAGTATTTATCAGAATGTGTAACTAACCATTGAGTCAGAAAGGCACAGATCTGATAAAAATGTCTTCTCCTTGTGCAAATTAAGGCAACACCCTGTGTGATGGGCCCAAGCGGGGCAGCCTGCCGTGCCTTCTGACACACCCTGGCCTTGCACATTTATCACCCACCATCTGAGGAATGTCTGTTCTTCAGTATACTGGGGTTCAATGTTTCCCTCATGCTGAAAATGTACTCACAGTGATGGATAATGTCTCAGGATTATTTTATATCATAACCCATGGTTGAAGATTTGTTTTTAAACATGAGTTTGGGGGGCAATCCCATCCTAAATGAAATTGTACCACATAATTCAAAATTCAAAATGAAAATATATTTAAAAAACATGAGTTTGAATTTTCATTAAAAGTATAAAGTAAAAATTAAGCATTTAGTAAAGTTCTACCAAACTAAATATGAAAACACAGATGATAAGAATGTCCATTTACAGATGTTTTTTAAAACGTGGAAAATCAGGTCAACAAACTCCATTTAGCTGTTAGAAAATTCCAAAGTTCGCACTGTTCTCTTCTTGTTGAGGTCCTTGGGAGGGAAGTGTCAGCACAACTCCGCCCCAGGGAGTGGGAGCAGAGGCTGCAGAGGGGCTTCGGGCACTTCTTGTCTGCGCATGCTCAACCCGGCGTGGGGCCAGGCACTCTTCACCTGCTTACAACACACAAAGCAGGAGATGCCGCAGGCCCAGAGCGGCGAAGGCCTCCTGGAAGCCCGGCCACGCGCTGTGAGTCAAGAACTGCTAGATCAGAGAGAACGCCCAAGTCCAAGGGCTTATCTACATGAATTCATCTATTCCTGACTTTTAAAGTGTCCAGAGAACAGCACAATGAGTTTCTATTAACACAAGGCTAACTTCATTTCATCTGCACTCACCGAACATATTTCCCCCAATTATTTTAAAGCAAATTCAAGCTATTTTATTGCTTCAGCTATAATACTTTCACACTTCATTCCCTAAAGATAGCATTAACACCAAAATAATTTAAAAAAACATAAACTGTCACATAAAGTAATAAAAATAGTTGCATAAAGTCAGCAAGTTTCCCTCTTACTTCCAGATTATTTGCACACCAGCCATGGACACAAAGCTAGCCCAGTCAGCCCATGTGTTTCCTGAAACTTTTGGGCTCCTGTCTCTCCCCGCGGGGAGGCAACCGAGTGCTCCGCCAACTCCACCCGCAGCCCTTCCTGTTCCTCAGTGCTCTTGGCCGGCTGGCAGCGATGCGGGGCGCAGGCCTCTCACTGCCCGTCGCCCCAAGGCACGCAGTGTCTGGCGACCACTCCACTGGGGATCCCGAGGCTGAGGCAACGCCTGCCTGACCCATCCATTACAAAGCTCCCCAATGGCCTGACAGCTAATGGCTTTACAGCAACCAACCGGAGGCCACTCTACTCATCATTTTACTAATGGATAGAAATGGTGACAGTAAGAGGATCACAGATTTTGCACTCACCAACTGGTAATTTTGTCATTGTTAAAGCATGAATGACTGCTTCAGATGAGGTAGAAATGTGGCGTGAGGAAAGGGGCTGTCCCGCTTGTTGCTGCCCTTCTCCTGGGCACAGACTGCCCAGCTGGGCTTCTGCAGCAAGCCAGCTTCTCACACACAAGCCACAGCTCACGAAGAAAAGCCCCAAAGGACAACCACGCAAGCAGAGCGCCTCTCACGCCTAATTGCTTTCCTATCTTCAAACTGCCTCTTTCACTTCGACTCTGACCAAGAGCCTAAGTGGAACCAGGGAACACCGAAAGGCCAGTTTGTGGTTTTAACGTGTTCTCTGAGTCTTGGCAGAAACCCCCGTGCCAGAGCTGGAGTGGCAGAGTGCTGGTGTCAAGGCTCTGCGTGGCATGTTCACACACCAGGCAGGCATCATTGCCCTTCCTGTCACAGCACCCCCTGCTGAAGGGGTGGCAGCAGAGCACACCCCTTCTTCAGCACGGCTGACTTGCAAGCCCACAGCTCTTGGAGCTCAGCCTCCTCCAAGAACTTAGACGGGCTCTAACCACTGCGGTGAGGCCTCACAGTCCCGTGTCCAGCAATGGGCTGGCTCCTGCATGCTGCTGCTCCCGCACCAAGCTATCCTGCAGGCGGTCACTCACCTGGGTGAGGGCGCTGACTCGGTTCTCATTGGGAAACAGAGGTGGGTCTTCTCCAACTTGGAAGTCAAAATACACAGTTTTATGTGTGAAGGTCGAAAACTCATTGCTGAAACAGAATTTGTACGTCCCGTTTCTGGAGGCGACGAAGGTGAAGCTGTCGTATTGCTTCTTCATCTCTTTGTATAAGACCTTGCCGTCGGGGTCCTCCAGCCGGCAGTCCACGTCGTAGTGGCCGCCCGTGATCACCTGCGAGAGAGGTACGGCTGAGAAGACCCGAGACCACCGAGAGAGGACAGGCTCCCTGCCAGCCGCCAAAGGACTTCTGGAGCACAGACGAGCTCACGCTGACTTTGACCAGAACATGAAACTTGGCACGCAGGTTTTAGTCCACTGAAAGTTTCACAGACACCAAACAGGTCCCCTCATGACAGAGGGGAGGAAGTCTGAGGTGCTGGCAGGAGTCGGCCACTCTTAGTGAGGATGGCCCAGGCCCAGGGCACAAGCTAGCCCCTCAGGTGCTCCGGGACCAGGCTGGCATCCTCTGCCAGGGAAACTCCGGACTTGAAAGAAGGATGTGACCTTTCATTATTTAAAGAGAGATAACGACTAAATGAACTAAGTTTCAAGATCATTTTGATAATGAGATAGTTATACATCCAGGAAACTAGAAAAATGTAAACCTTACCACGCAGATAAAATGCTTTGATAAGTTTTTTAATGTGTCATATCAAGTGGGTATTCACCTCTCCCTGAAAAGTCAGTAACTATTTTCAGGAGAAAATATTCACTTCCTCTCAACACACCCACTCACTCCCCCTTGCCCGGTGTGCTCTGAATCTGCACAGGGAGCAAAGGTGAGCGTCACCTCACCCCGGCAGGACGGCCGCATGGCTGCCCCCCACAAGCTCTACGTGCTCACCTGCCCAGTGACCAGGGAAATCTGACCTTGGCCCTCCCACATGCCCCCAGTCCAGACAGGACGAGGTCTTCATACCCCATTGCTCTCCCCCAAAGCCAGGCTTACTGTTCCCGTGTGCACCTGGATGACTCCACTGCGGGCAGTGAGCAGGCCGTGGTACCACGTCCAGCAGCCTCTGGGTCTGTGGCAGCCCCTCAGCCAAACCATGCCAACATCTTCTGGCGGTCCTCATCCCTCACTGAGTGCTCTCTGAAAACCTTTTGCTAATTCAAGGGGCCTGCAGCCCAGTCCAGGCCAGTCAACAACCCCAGCCCGTGCCCAGAGCCCCAAGCAGCCTCACTGTCTGCTCTGCTCATTCGCTGGCCCCAGAATCCTCAACTTCTGGTCATTTTGGGCAAAGTGCTTGGGGTACAGCTGCCCTCACGTGGCAGTTCAGCGTGGGGAGAGATGGGTGCCAGGCTCCCAGGACACTGCAGGGACAAGGCTCACAGGGCCAGGCAGCTGCAGGAAGGACCTCCTGGCCAAAGGCCGTCTCCACCCAGAGAGGCCAGGAGAGGGCAGCTGTGGGCTCCTGGCCCTCCCTGTGATGTGTGGCCAGATCCGCTTGGCTCAGAGCAGGAATCAATCACCCAAGCGTGCCAAGAATACCCCAGAATCTGGCTGAGTGTTTCAACTACTGGATGGCCACAGAGGCGTACTCCAGCGGTGGACCCGGCCTCATGGCAAGACCCATCTGGCCGGAGCAACACGGCTGTCTCTGCAGTTCCGGCACGGTCACAGCAGAAGGGCTGCTGTTGGCATGTCTCTGAGCCACCCATAAGCCACAGCAGGGGTTCTGGCTGACTTCAAGCCAGACCCTCCCCCAACACAGCCATCCACCTGCCTGCCATGCCTTCGCCTCCCTCCTCACCACCTGCACTGAGCAGCTCCAGCAGCCTCTCCCCAGGGGGTGCTCCTGTCTTCGGCTAGCACTGCCCCACAGGATGCAGGCACTGCCACCCTGCACATTCATGACTTCAGGCTCCCAGGGGAGTCGCCTGAGGTAGGCTTGCTGATTTGGGGATGTGGACCACAGAGCACTTAACCTAATGCACACATGGACTTGGCTCCTTCCAAGCTCGGGGACCCAGGGTCTTAGCTCCAGCTTCATCGGTAAAAACCAAACGAGGGCAGTACCAAGACTTGAGCAGTCCACCTGAACCGCGTGGCCAGCTGCCACTCCATGACTTCTTGTCTAGACCACCAACAATGTCCTAATCACCTTCCACCTTGCAGCACCTTACCACGCCATCTCTGCGTGCACACGGTGTTACTCACGCAGCCAAGGGACTCGGGTCGCGTGCAAGTCTCCCGTGGCAGGCTGCCCCTGCCGCCCCTGCCCAGCTCCCCTCTCCCAGTCCTCGCCTGCCACCACAGGTGGGCCCCACCCTCCCTTATGAAAGCATCGGGTAGTCATCCTTTGAACAACAAAACAAAACTTATTTATATTCACTCTCCCAGCGAACCAGGGCTGGACGAGCCAAAGCCAGGAGGCTGGGGCCCCACGCTGGTCTCCCACACAGGTGGCAGGGGCCCAAGCACCTGGGCCACCCTCTGGCTCTCTCCAGGCCCAGCAGCAGGAAGCTGGAATGGGAAGCAGGGCAGCCTGGTCACCGCCCCCACCTGGCTGCCCTACGAATCATCCTCTGACACCGGGCTTAAAGTCACGTTAAAGGAAGCGCTGGGCGTCCCCAGACTCCATGACACCCCTCCAGGGACCGCTCTTACCCGACCAGCCCCACCTCTCCCAGTCCCCTGGGTCCACCAAGACCAGCCTCCCAGACACCTACAAAACTGAGTGCAGGGCCGACCTAACCAGCCACCTGCTGTCAAACACCACCGGGGCAGGGAGGGTGTCGCGCGCAGCCTCAAGCCGGGGCTCCTCCAACTACCAGGACCCGCAGGGACCCCGGGGCCAGGCGTCGCCAGCGGGGCGTGGACGCTGGGCCCTGCAGGGGACGGACGCCGCTTTCTGAAAGGTCTCCCCAGCCCGCCCCCGGCCTGCAGGCCCCGCGCACCTGGAACTCCAGGGTGCACTTGGTGCCCTGCACGATGTCCTCGTAGAAGCACTGCTTGGCGTTGTCCGGCAGCTCGAAGGTGATCTCCGAGGCGCCGCCCGGCCCCGGGCCCAGCAGCAGCAGCAGCAGCAGCGGCGGCAGGGCCGGCAGGGCCAGCAGCCCGCAGCCCCCGTGCGGCGCGGACCCAGGCCGCGGCATCCCGACTAGGCGACGGCCTCCGCCCGAGCGCGGCGCACGGCGAGGCTCGAGACGCGGGGCCGGGGAGCGGCGAGAGGACGGCCGCCGCCGCCGGGGTGGACGAGGAGGGCGAGCGGCCTGGCCCGGGAACCGGCACGACCGCGGACGCCGAGACGGACCGGCAGGCGGAAGGCGGAAAGGGCCCGGGTTGGCCGGAAGGGGCGGGGCCCCAGGCACCTGCTGCGGCGACCCGGATGTGCTCCCCGGGGGAGGGAGCCGCAGGAGTTGTGTACGTGGAAGCTCGCGAGGCGCGGTCCTCTCAGCCTCCACGGCGGCCCGGGCGGAGGCGGGGCCAGCACGATGGGCGGGGCGAAGCCGTAAGAGGGGCGGGCCAGTGGATGGGGCGGGGCGAGGCCCGGGCGGAGGCGGGACCAGCGCGGTGGGCGGGGCGGGGCCCCGGCGGGGGCGGGGGCAAGCGTGATGGGCGTGGCCACACCGAGAGGGCGGGCCAGCGGGATGGGCGGAGCCAGGTGGGCTAGTGGGCGTGGTCTCCGCGGTCTGGGCGGGGCGCGCAGAGGAGGTCAGGATCGGTTTGGGTGTTGACAATTAACTGCTGGCGCGGGTAGGGCCGTCCTAGCTTGCATCTGAAAGCCTGACTGCAGGGTTCTGTTATCTGGGGGAAGTGGAGAGTCTGTAGCAAGCACCAGATAATCTAATACCATAGCACCCTTCTGTAGAGAGAGCCACGCGTAGGTTGGCATGGAACAGGAAGGCTAGAGCCAACACTACCTGAAACAACCCAGCCGTAAAGTAACAGCCCTACGTGGGTGTGGCGCAGTGATGAAGCCAGCAGACCTAGCGACACAGGACTGTGTGGACACATCTGACAGATGTGCAACGAAAGCCACAAGGGAGCAAAGGCGGATAGCAACCCGTTTTCCCTGACATGAGGTGAAATGAGACTGAAACATGAGCACGCTGACCTCACAGGACAGCGGGGAGGACGAGGAGTCTGCGAGTGGACACAGCGTAAGGGCGCTGACCTCGCACGACAGCAGGGAGGACGAGGAGTCTGCGAGTGGACACAGCGTGAGGGCGCTGACCTCACACGACAGCGGGGAGGACAGGGAGTCTGCGAGTGGACACAGCGTAAGGGCGCTGACCTCACAGGACAGTGGGGAGGACGGGGCATCTTTGAGAAGCGCCACAGGGTGAGGGAAGGGAGACTGTGGGGTGCCTGTGGTTCTAATCCGACTTGGGTTGCGGTCTAACTGGTTGTGAAAGGGTACAGCGTGTGCAGTTTCCTGTAGTTAGACTGTGTCTTTCGGCCAGAGAAGGAAGCGAACACACTGTGTACGTCAGTGGTGATGGTGGGTGATGGCACCCCAAAACACAGCCTTCTGCTGACCCCACAGGGATAACTGGTCACTGTGCACACTGCACCGTAGGTCACCGGGTGGACCTGTCTCTGCTGGACCCACCATCCTCCTCAGTCAGCTGGGGCTTGGGCAGACAGCTGAGCTTCTCCAGGACAGCCTCGGCTTGCACACTGATCCGCTCCACATCCCAGTCTTCCATCCCCACAGAGGCCAGCTCACTGTGCAGGAGAAACAGCGTGCTGGCTTCTGGAGTGCTCGGAACAAGGCTCGCCATCTCCTGCCTCAACCCTGTAAGAGTCTCGAGGCAAACGGAGGCTCAAGGTGCAAAGAAGAGCTGCAAAGGTCCCGTGAGCCGGAAGTGCAGTAGGAAAGCAGGTCCCCTCCAAGGCGGCGTGGACAAGCACCCGTGAGTGCATGCATGTGTCAGATACTCTGTGGAAGGCTGTTGCTGTGCTGGATCAATGAGCCACACAGCAGATCTCCATACACACACGTGTCTTGTATGCCCGATTCTCAGCCCATGCTTCTAGGGCCTGAGCTGTGGCAGGTCAGTCCTCTACCTGTGGCATGGTGTTTGAGTCCTGGCTACTCCATTTCCTGTCTGGCTCCCTGCAAAGCAACAGAGCATGGCTCAAGTCAGTGGGACCCTACCCCACTCCTGGCTCCTGCTCTGGGCTGGTCCAGTGCTGGCTGCCGCGGCCATCCGGACAGTAAGCCAGCAGAAAGAGGATCAATCCTGGCCTCTCTTCCTCCCCTCTCTGTAGCTTTGCTTTCAAATAAAATACATAAATAAATATTTGTTTTCTTTTTCTTTTTTAACTGAAACAGTCTGTGCTTCTGTAGAATAGACAAGCGCACGACGCTCTGGGATGTGTGTATGTGGGCAGCATATTCGATCACCAGTCCTCGGGAGGCAGTTCTTCCGGCTCTGGTGCTGCAGCCTGAGCCTGCGGAAATGAAGTCAGCAGAGCTGGGGCTGCGGAGGAGGGCCTGTGCCCCCACCTCTCTGAGCCCGTGAGCCCTGGGACCTGAGAGCCGGGCAGCCTTCAGCATGCAAAGCATTTTGTCCTTCTGACATTTCTCATAATTACTGACCTCCAACAATGCAGAGATTGAGTCCCAGGAAGCAGGTTCTGGCTCAGCTACTTCAAAACCACAGCAGCAAACTACAGACCTTCGCAGGCAGGTGCGGGAGAGGGAGGAACTCGGCTGCCCTCCTTACGCTGGGTCCACTGCCTGTGCAGGCCTGCGAGGAAGCAGGGCTCTTGCCTTGGAGCTTTGTCACCTGGGAGAGACCGACAGACCTTGCTTCCAGAACTCTTAGTTTGTCTCTTTCCAGTGGGATCATGAAGGTCGGCAGGAGTGTATATGTCAAAAAGCCTGGTAATGCACAAAAATATAGTATCTTTATGTCAGGTACATACTTTCACTAGGAATCACAAAGTATTAGGAAAGAAAAAAGTCAACAATGAAAATGGCAAAGGAAATTTAGACTCACATATAACCTTTGAGCCCAAGCTGTCTCTGCTAGCGGGGAGATGGGGCAATTGTCTGTCCTTCCTGACACCTGGTTTTGGCTGACCCACGAGGAGCTGCGCACAGCGGCGGGCACTGCTTGCATGTACCCGCACGTTCACACTTAGCCTGGAGCCAGCAGGTCTCAGGGCTGAAGGTGAGCTACGCCCCCAAGCACGTTGGATAGCAAAGATGTTGAGCTGGCAGTCTATTGTTGTTTAAATAGAAGGAAAATCAGATACTTCACATCAATGTAGAATAACATCCACCATTTGTCCTACACGTCGCTGACAACGCGCTGTAGCTTCTGAACAGCCTACCAAGTGTTCCTCTGTACTGTGGGTACCAGAGCGCAGTGGCCTGCTTGGACACAACGCTTATGAACAGCGTCAGGGCTGAGCTGTGCTTCCCTCTGCACTGTGAAGTGCACGTGCCACAGGTTAAAGACGTTTCATGACATGGTGATGGAGGAGGGCAGTGGGGCTGCGTTTTCAGTGCTGGTATGGCAATGGGTGGATTGATGAATGAGGCTGCAGGGCAAATAGGCAGGTGGAGGACACGTGTGTTGAAGCCTACGCAGGCGTGGTGGAGGCGAGTGGGGGTTGGTATAAACCACTGCATACAAGGTCTCCATTAGAGTCCCAGCTACTCGGCTTCCAGTCCAGCTTCCTGCTAATGCTGGGAGAGCAGTGGAGGATGGGTGCTTAGGCTTCCTCCCACATTTGGGATAGCTGATGGCATTCCTAGCTCCTGGCTGTCTGTGTGGCCACCTGGGGAGTAAATCAGTGAATGGAGGATCTCTCGCCACTGTAGGTGATCCTCATGTTGGACAACCTCGACATCTCCAGGGAGTCCATCGTAGGCAGAGGGTATCCCCAGTCTAGCTCATCCCTCAAGCTTGCTGCAGCCAGGGCTGCACGGCCGCACGGCTGCCGGTGCCGGGTATCAAGAAGCAGACCTCGAAACCCGAGGTGCAGTTTCTCCTGAAGGCGTCCCCTTTGCACTGTCAAGGGACAGTCACCACACTAAGTAACCCTGGTTGTGTCTGTGTTTGCCCCTGTGGGTGGATTGCGTCCCAGAACACTGCTTTCCAGCAGTCAGCTCACCTCCCTGCAGCAACCCTTGCATGTGGTCCAGGTGAGTGCAGGCAGGCATCCCAGAGGATCGGGAGCAGCTTCCTCCCATGAGTGGGTCGGTGGGTCCCAAATTTACCTGGCCTGCACCTTGCTCTCCCTTCTATTTTTGACCACAGTGACCGCCAGGCGGTGCTGCTCCCCTTTCCATCTTCCCGGGTACCCAAAAAGAAACACCGGGAAGCAAGCTCTGACCCCGGAGCCCGGGTCCCTGGGAAACGGGGTCGTGACTGCGTTTGCCCAGCGTGTCTGCAGTCCTGAGCTGGTTCCCAGACGGTCCTCCCAAAAGCCCGCTGGATCCGCGGCTGCCGCTGGTGCCTGGGTTAGAGACGCGAGGCTTGTGGAAGGACAGTTAGGGCAGCCAGAGACCATGCTGGACAGAAGGCAACGTGGTTAGCGGCTGGCACCTGCTGGGATGGACACCTGTCCCGAAGGGGTGAGAAGGTGCTGGCCGGCAGGACTCACGCGCCAAGGCCGGGAGGATGACGCAGAGGTTTTCCCGTCATGAGTATTCAGCGGTACAGGATATTCTCACAGTCAGTTTGTACGGCGTGTGCTGATTAAATCAGGGTGATGTATGTTCACAACTGAAACTTGCAGCCATGGTCGGATTCTGCGTTTTTAACCCTTGGTCTCAGCTTTTACTGAGTGTTGCTATTTCAGAAGTCAGCCCTCTGTGCAGTTGGAGATGCTGCAACAGTATTGCTCAAAAACAGTAAGTATTTCAACAATTGTGCAGCAGGAATAACTCTTTAAATCAAAAAACATACAAATGTCACAAGAAAGTTTAAGTGGCAGACTATACAGAGCAGGAGGGAAACCAAGGTTGTTGTTATTTTAATATATTTCATAAAGAAAAGCCTAGTGTCTGCTCTGCCTTTTAGCAGTTATCTAAGAAGGAATGCATAAAATAGCCTTAGGAGAGAAGCTGCTTTCAAAATCTCATGCATATGCCATGCCACAGACAGACTTTTCTGACCAAGGCTGCCGAGTTTGAAACAAAAACAAGCTTGGATGCAATTAGACGCTTCAATAAATGTGCGAAAAACAAAATCCTTCAGCAATTCTGAACATAAAAAGCGTAGAAAGCTTTTTAAAAAGCAACACATCTTGTGATTTGAATGTTGTGTGTTGAGGACAGCTTTAAGGAGATTTATTTTAGGAGATTCAAAAGTGAAAC